AGCGTTAAATAGTTTTAAATGGGAAGTAATGCTTCTCGTTCCGATCTCGATAGCTTTGTGTTTTCATCTTTTGGCTGATGATGGTAATGGCAGATGGCGGATCGACCTGGCTCGCAGAGCCTGCGGATGAAGTGGACAGCGGTGCAGAGAGGTGGAGGCAGCTGGCCCGGCAGCTGAGGGGTGACCTGTCCAACATCATCCTGATGTCTGAAGAAGACCTGCAGGTACAGAGGGGAAGACCAAGGAGAGACCGAGCCTGTCCATACATTGCAAAGGATGGCACAAAACAGAATAAGCAAATCGGATCTCAAAGCTTAATTTGGCTGTTGTTTCTTTGGCTGTGGTGCTAAAGTGAAATTTCTCCTTGAGGGGGAATCCTTTTTCCACTGACAGCACAAGTGCTTGAGGAAGATGCTCTAAACACTGATTATCCCTCACAGCATGTCTTTGTGATTCTGCCCCTTCTTGCAGCATGCAGGTTCCTAAGTGCTGGCCTGCTGGCTTTCTCTTGTGTGCTTCCACACTCACTTAAGAACTGGTGCTTTGATTGCCTGCAATTGTCAGGCAAAAAATCATCATGTTAAAAATGCACAATTCTACACCTTCCTGAATATCTCTGGGCTGCTGGAATGCCACTGCAGCTTTTCATAACCAGGCTGACTGCTGTGAAAACCTTGTGAAATATACAAGGTTTCACAAAGGTGGAGGCTCTGTCATTCAGGCTTGTCGTTTGTGCTGTAATCAGCGTGATGGAATTGCTCAATCACTCAGTCCATATAACAGGAGCACTCCTATTGTTTTAAGGTGCTTATTGATGTACCACGTTCAGATCTGGCAGAGGAACTTGCCCAAAGTCAAGCCAAAACCCAGGTATTGCAGGACACCCTGCAGCAGGTGCTGGACAGACGAGAAGAGGAACGTCAGTCAAAGCAGCTCCTGGAACTCTACGTAGAGGCCTTGAAAAATGAAGACAATGTATTAAGCAAAGTAGCAGGTAGGGAACATCAGGATGCTGAAAAAGGAGCTTCTCATAGAAGCCTAAAAGAGTTGACTGGGACAGATAAGTGGGGGAAGGACTGGGGCGAGTCACTTGCTATTAGCATCATTGATTGAATAGCTGGTGTAGTGGAAGAGTTCTCTGAATGGGAGAGACCAGGAGTCCTTTCACTGCTGTCGCATTGCTTATAGTGCCTGAAAGTAGAATATGGGGAAAAAGCTTACATAGTGTAGTCATCCTTAATATTATGGATTTCCTAAGTTAGAGGCTGCATATCTTATCTCAAAAACAACAATGCAGTCTGGGCTACACTTTCTGTCCTGTGCATGTGGCTGTAATGATTCTTCTGTTTTTCAGAGTCTGAGAGTGTACCGAGAAAGGAGATGGATGTGGTTGACACAGGTACCAGCAGTGCAGGGACTTCAGCCAGAACAGCCCTCAGTGACCAGATCTGTGCTGTTTTGAAAGAGAAACCTGCCCCAGAGCTCTGCTTGGACAGTCGGACTCTAGAGGTGGGTGAGGATCATACAATCATGTATACAACCATGGCAAATCTCTCCTCTTGGGAGGAAGGGTTGAGAGGGGAAGCCTCTGGGGCACAAAAAGGAAAGTCTGGGTAAACTAGCCATGAGGTTCTGATGAAGTATTCTGATGATATTAAATTGTTAATCTCACTTTTCTCTGCTGCAGAAACAAAGTAACTGCTTTCTGCTAGTTTGAACATAGAGCTTTAAGCTGTAAGTACTGGTAGAATAAAAAGAAAAATACATTAGCCTAAAAGATACAAAATATAAGCTGGAAGCATCTTCAACACCAAATTGGCATTAAACATGTGCCTCATTGCTCCTGTTCTTAGTGTGTGTGTGGGCAGGGGGTTGAGGTGTTGGAGCATCAGTGGGCAGCACTGTTACAAGTCTGTCTCTTACAGCTGGTGGTGAAAGAAGACACACAAGCCCTGGCTGCAGCTTTAAGCTGGGACAAGCAGAAAGCCGAAGCTGTACAACAAGCTTGTGATCAGGAGCTCTCCAAGCGTCTACAGCAAGTGCAGACTTTGCATTCCCTGAGGAGCACATCAAGAGGCAAGAAAGCACTACCTTGTGGAGATGGGCTTAGTTCAAAACGCAAAAAATAAGGCTATAGTTCTGCCTCAAGTGTCAGGGAAATGCAAGTAGTTGTGGGTTGCATTTTTTTTTGTTTGTTTGTTTTTTAATTAGAACCAACAGAAATAAGGTATGTCCTGGGAGCCATAGTTTGCTGGTCATACTGTGGTCTGGCTGCAGAAAACTAAAATTTGGACATTGTCCTGAGGCATAAATACTTGTGATGATTCAAATCATGTGTAACCAAAGGGATTTGGACTTTTTGCAGAATAGTAAAACAATGGTATTGCTAAACACAGCGTGTAAGAGTTCAGCTTTCAATAGCTCGTTGGGGTGGGAGCCAGAAAATTCCATCTGATAATGCTGATCTAGCTCTGAAGCCTCAGGCAGTTTGCTCACCTTCCCACCATTTTCAGCAGAAAGGATGAAAATTCATTACATCAGTAATGAACAGAAAGCAGGCATTTTGACCATTACTTACTCAACACAGAATGTTTGGGTTTGGGGGGGGGGGGGGGGTTGGGTTTTGGGGGGTTGTGTTTTTTTTGTTTTTTGGTTTTTTTTAAGGATTTATTGTGATATTATCATTGTGCAGTTTTTCCAGCTGCTTCCTTTAATCTCCAGCCTGGCATCTAGGCACTTGGAATTCTCATGCTAATCTTACCAGTTAAAGTAAAATCAAAACTACTTCTGTGTTTTTGTTGTGGTTATGGGGATTTTTTTGTTGGTTTATTTTTCGTGTAAAAAACTCCTGCATCTTTCAGTGCAGTGCAAGCACTAATTTGTAGAACAGCTAAAGTGGAAATGCTTGTTTTGAATGGCTGTGGGGCAAAACACTTGGATTTGGCCTGTCTGTATTCTAACCATTGGTATATCATCATGACACCTCTGTTTTAATCTGCTTATTTTTAAATTGAATGAATTCTTATGTCTTAAAAACTTTTTTTTTTTTACTAAAATGTTGGATTAGTTTTGATGTGGCTGCTATGATTAAAGAATGAGCCAGTAAGTATAGTATTATGTTAAGGACTGAAGAAGAACTTAAATACAGAAGTGTTCCCTATTTTACTCACTCAAAAATGTTGTGGAAGTACAGGTGCATTCACACCAGTGTGAACATTACACCAGAACTCTGAGTCTTAGGAGATGGACGTGAAATAATCTGAAAGGTAAGATAGAACCTAATGTTTTTGTAGCTATCAATGTTTTCTATTACCGTGCAAAACCCACTGACTGAGCATAACTTTAAATGGTGCAGGCTGCCTCCTGCTAAGTACTGCTACAGCAGGCATTCAGATGAAGCCACTGTATGTAGATTTGAGTTGGATTATGGCACATACAAAGTTAGACTGCTTGTGTAATTAATATGTATCCTTGCCAGTTCAGTGCCTCTGGGCAAGTACCCACTGAGATTTGACTGGAATTGGAGGGAAGCTTGCAGTCACCTTCTTGAAGCCTTTTTTGCCAAAGCATATCATTGCTTCTTACAGTATATATTTCTGGCTTGTAACATTGCAGGCCATGGCAGAAAAAGAGTTCCCTGCTGTTTTTAATAGCTACTTATTACAGCCTTTTTATGTTCAAGCTCTTATGAAAGAGCACATATGGCTGTTCATAAACAATTTTTGAGGCATGCTCTATTATACTCAAAGCTCATTACACTGAGTGCACCAGGCATACTAGCTGTCAACTGGCTTTTTCTTGAGTTCATGTCTCACATTCTTCCTGTTATCAACTATTGTATCAATCTTCCTCAAGGCTGCAATACTTTGCTTTTTTCTAGCTCAGCTTAGCAATGGGAATCCTACTGTTCGTGCTGTACAAGAGGAAAGGAGGATTTTACCCAGAGCTTTTTCACATATACCTAAAATAACAGATAGCATAATTACTGACATCCTGCATGTATTAGGAATATTGAACTCACTCACTTCAGGCAAGTTCTGAGCTGGAAGTCACAGAGACCATGCTGATACTTCTTGTAGAAGGCAGTGATGGTCCTTCAAATCTAACTTTAAGAAGAAAACAAATAGAGGGCTTTCACTGCTGCTCTTTCCTTCTTTCTGTTATCAAGGTTAGAGCTTACATGCCTGCAAGTTATTCAATACTGCAGTTCTTAAACTAAAGAATTAAATTATTAACTAGGCCTAGCATAGTGTGATTTAAACAGATACTTTTTTTCTTAATCATTCTGTTACAGTAACAAAATAATCAGACTTTTATAAGCTGATGGGAGCTGCAGTTAAGCTGAAAGCTGAACTTTCAGGAGTAATTTGAATTATCTGCAAAGAACACATACTTAGTACTGAACTCTCCTTAAAGCTCTCTTATAGTCAACATTCTTCAAATGTCTCGGTGAAAAATGAGAAGCAATTAGCTAATAGGCTAACGGACTTCAGTGCTGTATCTCATCCCCTAATTTCTATGAAAAATCATTTTTTAATGGTCAAGTTTATGTACTGCTTCTTGGATCTATTTCAATAGTGCAATCAATCAAAGCTGAAAACTAAAATACCTCAATTAATGGCATTTTTAAATGTAGCAGTTCAATTATCCTTATAAATTGGCTTTTTTTTTTTCTTTTAGGTTAGCCTTCTGATCATTATATTCTGAATATCAGTTCAGAGCTAGAATTCCCTGTCAGTGAAAACAAAGAGCTGCTGCCAGATCTAATGTTTCTACATCAAACAATCACAAAACTTTTCAGTATACAACCTCCAGCTTCCAGACAGCACCTTCCATATACCAGCAGTGTTACATGCACAAGTGTTTGGTCAGAAGTGACAAATTTTAGCTGAGGACAACAGAAGAACCATCTCCATTAGAGACAGAAGTGTAGATCAAAGCAAAAAATGATATTTGGTCATTCTTTGCTTATCTAGTATATGCAAACCAGGAGAAACAAACCATGCTCTGTAATTTAATTTAACACTGAATTAGATGTATGTTTTATAGATGAAAAGTGTTTGATTCACTTTAGCTCATTTAAGCTGCAAATTCCCTAACTATGCAAAAATTAGCATTTCCTTGATGTTATTCCTTTAAGAAGTGTTAACATTTAAACATATGAACTGTGCTGCACATGATTCATAAGTATGAACATTTTATAGGTGTTCAGGAGGGAGGGATGCAGCACAGGTCTCGAACATTGCTAGAAGACAAAAGCTGGGGTGGCTGCTGCTTTACTCTGCTAATGGCAAAACATTTAGAATATCAAAGCCCCAAGTTAGTCTTCATTATTTACACATCCAAGTAGACAAACCTACTTTGTAACAGATTTCTTTCTCAGAAATATATTTGCTATGAATGAGTAGCCTCAATTAATGGTCTTCAACACTGCATTAATAATTTCTTCCTTAAAACATCACACTCTTGTATCTCCTACATGAAGTGGGCTGATGACCAGTATATAGGACAATACACAAAGCCTCATAAACTTCAAGAAAGCAAGTCATGTATAGGGGCATTATTTTTAAAAATATATATATACACATATGTGTATATATATATGTATATATATACACACATATGAAAAGCAAGGAAACACCAGCATTTCAAGAGGACAGATTTCCTGTTGAATACAGAATCTCTACAGTTTATCATCATCTACCTAGATTACTCTGCAATCGTCAGTCGAATAATTTACTTAAAAGATTATCTTATCCCCGGAGGTGGAGCAGTTCTGGACTGGGAAACAGGAGAATATTTAAAAGTGCCATTGTGAAACATAGATCTCAAGGTAGGAGGAATTCATTTTTAGTCAGCATTTGGTTAGCACCTCTCAGACCAGCAGAGGGCAATAGTGATTTCCGACCACCACTAGGGGGATCGTATTCCACAACATTTAGAAAGTGTCACACAACTTCTTGGAGGTGATTACTGTACATCAACAAACTCACAGGAGAAAAATGACACAGAATATGCTTTAATTGCCAGGACGACAAGAGATATGGCTATTAAAAAGGAAATTGTTTATAATATCTAAACAAATCTATCAGAAATGGAAGTAAGAGGTCAAAAAATTATTGGAGAAATTAAATTGTCCTTTGCAGGGAGTTCCATATACTGAGGTGTGAATATGCTCAGTGGATATGCTTTGCTTTAAATTCTATCAATAAAGGAGTTTCTTCTTAATAACCGTAAGATTTTGTTTAGTGAACAATTAAGGCATTTTGGCTGTAAACTTTGTTGAAATCTGACAGTCATTTCATTTTTGGAAAAAGAAAATGTAACTAAGCACGTTTACCTAAAAAAACTATAGAGAGTCATTGAGCTTGTTAACCTGCAAGAGCAATCACTGGCAGGCTAATCTAGGTCTTCTAGGATACTAAGGGAAAATGACCGGAGAAGTTACTGAAAGGTAAATCATGCCATGTTGGAATCTTCACTTTCAGTCACAGGTGTTTCATTTTCCTCAGTTCTCTTTCCCTTAGCTGCACTGGACTTCTTCTTCTTCTTCTCCTTTTGTTCCATGTTACTTGATGCAAGCTCTTCGCTCTTCTGTGTGATGTACTTAAGCTGAGAAAAATAAACTAATCAGTGGTCTAATGAGGAACATTAGAGCTTGACATAAATAGTGCACAGTTATTAAGAAGAAAAAATTCAGCTCCAGCCTTTACTATGCCCTTTCACATTGAGTTCTTGTTGCATAGTTTAAATCACACAGAAGGGGGAAAAAATGCATAAAATGAAAATTAGCATTCAATTTAGCCTTCAAAACTTCATTTGCAGTTCTATTTTTAAAAGCAACAATTTATACTGTAAAGTCCTTAAAAAGCAAAGATAAGCCTCCTCCTGTAGGTCAGCATATAAAAGAAATGAAGTGAATCACCCCTATGTTAATCCTACTAGGAGACCCAGACCGTGACATGGGTGCAAACTGTGTCTGACCTTAGGCTAAAATAAAGGAATACAATGTCAGGAAAAAAATAATGCTTGTTTATTGTATTTGTACATTTGGAACCTTAGAAGCTCTACTGCAACCAGAGCATTGTTGCTTAAATTGCAATCAGATGCCAACAGTGAGGCATAGTATCATGAAGAAAAATGTGATGAAAATTAAAACAAATGATGGGATCGTGCCCATCCATCATCTATAAGCCAGTTAAACTGCTTAAAAAAAACAGTTGCTTCAACATTTAAAGCCTTCGCTCAGATGCTCTTAGGAATTAACCAACAGGTATAAGAAAGTTGTAAGACAGAAAATACAGCGAATCTCACCAAAGAATTGCTCCTTCTAGCCAAAAGCTTCACGTCTTCTGAAGTGATTGTGCTTCGCTTTGCATGTCTGCATATAATTTAAAAACACTTCTTGATGTGTTTGCTAACTCCAGGTGTAGAAAGCCACGCAGAACATTTAACTAATGGGGCCTAATATGGGCCCAGGCAACCAACAATACCCATCTTTTGTAAAAAGGATTTTGTGTGTTGTAATCACGTATGCATACATCTAAATACACATATGTACAAACAGTAGCATTCAGTAACCAGAACCTGGCACTGCTGCTCACTCTGACTTCCCACTGTGTTACTGAGTTGTTTTTCACTCAGACACAGACTCCTTAAACATTCCCTTACCTCTTTGGAGCAACCAGACAAACCACAGGTATGCTAGCAAGCATCCAGCACCGCTACACATCAACACAGCTGACAGTTATATGCAGTTGTTAATCTAAACAATCATTCATGCTGCACACATGGACTTCCAAGATGAGGAAGAACCTATAGCAGCATGTCTATTTCTTAATTACACAGTAACTATTTAATCAGCCAAGAGAGCCCTTTAAAACCTTAAAAAAAAATTGCATGATGCATTTTGAAGATTATGCAATTAAAATCAGATGTATTGCCTGATGTTTGGGTGCTCTGATGGAGACAGGAGCTGGACTCGATGATCCTTAAGGTCCCTTCCAGCATGGGACATTCTGTAATTCGGGCTAATGCAAAAATGCCTTCACAATGTCCTGCAACATACCTGGCAAACATCTCGAGGTCTCTTGCAAAGTTTTCTGGAGAAAAAAGAGAGAGATGTATTTTAGAACGCTGCCTCTGATTTGGAAGAGATACATAAAGCTGTAATACAAAGGTGCAATGGCAAATTGTCAAGTTACAAGAAGTGACCACAGCTTGTTCTCACACATCACTGCTGCACAGGCAGATGGGCCACGAGTACTTTGCATACATTTAAGTGCTTTTTCGTGGTAAGAAAAACAGAATGACTATTTCTTGTAGCTGTAAAGTCACGACACAAGGAGCTCTGCATCGCTGACAGCCCGGCTCTCTCTCTTAGCGCAGCCCATCCCCAGCAGCCGCCGTTGGGCCGCAGGGTGACACGCGGACGTACCGCACTGCCTGAAGGTGATCTCGGATATGGCGGCGACGGTTTGCTTGCTGAACAGCACGCCCTTGTCCTCAGCGACGCCCTGGCACAGGCAGCCCGTCGTGTAGTGCACCGCGGCCCGCAGCCTCTGCAAGACGGCCCCGCACAGCTCAGCCCGCAGCCCGCCCGGCACCCCAGCCCCAGCTCCATCTCCAGCCGGGCCCCCCGGGCACGGGCGGGGGATCAGAAGGACAAGAGGGGCCCCGCCGCACCTGGATGAGCAGCTCCCGCTGCTCGCCGCCCGCCGGCTCCATCGCCCGCTCGTCCGAAGTTTCCCGCCCAGCGCTGAGGCGGGGCCGCGCCGCCGCCATGTTGGGCCCCGCCCCCCCCGCTCCCTCAGCCCCGCAGGCACGGCTGGAGCCGGTGGGTTTTATAACGCGCACCGCGATGGACGCGAGGAAGCATCCCGTTCCGCCCCGAAACACCGCTGCGCACGCGGAGTTCCGCTGTAACGCCGGGCAGAGCTGTTCCCACTGCTCACCACACAGAATTACAACACAAAGCACCTGAACAGCAACTGCTTCAACTTCCACAGCGCTTTAGGTGCCACATTGGTGTTACAGAGAACCCCTAGATCTTACAGTATAATCTGCAAAAAGTTGCTTTAAATCATAAGCAATCCCTTGTTAAATCACACTGACTCAGCTGCTGAGCAGCTCTCCTGCTAAAGGCAGCACAAAATGAATCCAGGCACCAGTTCACAGCTCAAAACGTATTGCACGACTGGTTCTGCGAAATAAAGATGCAAGCATTCAGGTGAATTTTCAACAGTCCTTAAAATGATGGGATTAGAGGAAAAACAGAGCCAATCTTGCATGCTGCTGCAGGTTATTTTACCTGGCGGGGCAGGAGGAGGCACAACACATGGCTAGGAAGTATCAGTGGGGAACTGCAGCTGCAGACAACTGACAGCCAGACCTGTCTTGACACCTCTAATCTGTACCAAAGTTCCCCATGCCCCATCCCACCCTTCATCCTTTCACAAGCAGCAGCTTGCAGTGTGCAGGACCCCGTGCAGGTGAATACCCAGAAATCAATCTTCAAGAACCCAGCTGCTGCCTGCTGTGAACCAACAAGAAGAAAAACTCTTTACCTCCCTGGAATCTCATGCAGCGTTACTGTGCTGACTGTCTGCCACTCTCCACTTTAGCAATTAGTGAAATGCAGGCTTCTTTATCTTGATTCTATGAGTTTATGCACTATAATACAATAAAAATATTAGCACATTAAAATGCATTAAGAATTAGCACATCAAAATTCTGTTCAAAGACATTTTAGCCAGCAGCAAAGGAAAAAAAAACCATCTCAAAATACGTACAAGCAGGTTTATTTAGCTTTCTTATATATGTGAAATATACCCACAAGTTATTACAAAAGTGTGCAAATGCAAGTTCTAACACAGTACAGTAAAAAGGGGTGTTCACAGAGGAATATCTGAGATCTATAGTATCTCAGCTTCAAGAGGGAATATTTCCATTAGACATTGTAGGCAGAAGAGGACACATTTCCTCCATGGCCTGTCCAGTTAGTATGGATAAATACACCTGGCTTCGATAATAACTCGTATGTATGTGCACCAAAGTAATCACGCTGAGCCTAGAATAAGAACACACACACACACAACATAAAAAGACATGAATATGACAGCCACACAAGTACTGGAAATGGCACACACTGAGACATGAGCATGTGAATTCAAGAAATGAAATCTGACTCCGGTACAACATTCAAAACTATTGCATCATTATTAGGAAAGACTACAATAAAACACTTATTAAAATCTATTAATCAGCAGTTTCACAGAAAGACAACTGTATTCCTTCTGACACATACAGACCTGAAAAACCTACATACATCCAGAACTCTAAAGATATGTATGTTTTTTGTTGTTGTTGTTTGTTTTTTTTTAAACAAAACATCTTTATCCAAAAGCAACACTACTCCCTGCTTTAGAGATAGAATACTAACACACACTGGGCACTGTCATACCACTGCCTCTTGTATTCTATGGACTGATATCTCACAACATCTTACTGGCTTGAATTTCAGGTTTTGAAGTATATTAGGCAATCAATGCCTACATTTTTACAGTGGTGGAGCGACCATGAGATAACTGCCATCATGATCCTTAGATCAGTAATTAAATAATAACATGCTGATATTTCAGTAGATAGAAGATTTACCACACTATTTCAGGCACCTACCTGGATCAGGTTAGCTGGCAGCACTTCATGTCTGTATCCATCATAAAAAGAAAGTGCTGTAGTGAAGCAGGGCATAGGAATACCATGCTGGACTCCAGTACTGATTACATGTCGCCAGGAGTCCTGGGCCAGAGGGGAAGTGGGGAAAAAAAAAAAGAAAAGAAAAGAAAAAAAAAGAAACATACATGTGAGCATGTACACCATTCCAGTTTAACACTGTGTGCAATTTCACATTATATGAAATCTAAGTCTGAGGAAACACAGTGGTATATTCCTGATTTAACACAAAAAGTTTGATCCAAAATAATAGCGAGCCAGTCAGCAATCAAGCAAATAAAGGTGCAGGCATACACTTCACATACAATCCAATGACAACTGAGACAAGAATGCTGTTCCTTCATAAATCATCCACACATCCCAAGAACATGAACACAGTGAGGCATCTTCAGGACATCTAATCAAGCACACAACCATCACCCAAACATAAGAAATCAGCATGTTGATTCAGACAGACACGTGGATAATCATTATTTCAGCTGTACACCTGATTTAGGAATAATCAGCTTCAATAAAAGGAGTTATTAATTACAAGTCTTCTTTGTTGTCCAGATAATCTGTTTTTAGTTCTGCCTGTCATCTCCCACCCAAATCAGGGCACTGTTTGGACAGCCTAATGAATGGTTGGTTTGTGACACTGTTGTTTCAGTGGTACAGCAAACAACTGGAACAAAGCTTGGTACTCTGTACCACTGAAGTCCAAGTGCACAGCAGGCACAAGGCACCTGGCAGTGATGAGAATGCTCATACAGGCTAGATGATTTTTCCTGACACTGTGGTTCTATTGAACTGCTATATTTCTGCTTAGGGTTCTTCTGTAATGGTACAATGGAAATCTCTAGTTTTTAATGGTAGCTTCTCTAGAACTAAAGAGAAGAACCATGGTACAACAATGATGATATGTTTATTGCTCCTGTATTATCTTGACATTGATAATGTATCTTATAATATTATGCAAGATCTTGATTTGCTGCTTGATATATCTGGATGATCATTTATAAAGTGGTACAAAACCCTTTTTCTTCATTTAGCACTACCACTTTTCAGCTTTTTGATGAAAAAGAGGCAAGTGGCATTTGTAGGTATTTTGAAGGACAGGTCACCAACCTTGCCATGTTGAAAAATTCTCATTTGAATCTCAATAATTTTCTTGTGTTATTTCAACCACTTTCAATTATATGGCTTATTTCTCATCCTAATCTTTTAAGACTGGTATGTTCTATTAAAGGATACCTCAAAGCCATAAATGATTAATTCCTGCTCAGAAATGTGTGCAGGTAAAATACACGAATAGCCTGAAGATTGGTTAGAAATCTTTGGGATTAAGGATGCTGCATAAACAGGATTCAAAGAAGTTCTTCCCACCTTTTCATTTTTCTGATAAAATAAAGTTGTGATGGAAACAAAGTGCAGAAGTTCAGATTGTATATTGCTGGTTTTTTGTTTTTCTTTCTTTGTAAACTCACCTGGCATTTTTCTACAGCTGTCTTAAAGAAATCATCCAACAGCAAATTCTGAAGTTCAGGGTTTCGATCAAAAGCATCTTTGATTTTTCCCAGGAACACACTAGGGAGAATACAAACCAGAAATCAAACTGTGCATCTTTCTACAATGGCCTAGAATCAAAAATGCCAAGACTTGACACCAGTTTTCTGGTGGCTTAGCTACCACAGATTTTCATAGGCTGAGTCATCTGTAATCTCTAATGCTGATTAGAGAAACAGACCCCCAGAACCTTACTAACAGGTTAACTCCATGGATTTTCTTATCTCTAGGCTTCTCAGTCTAGCACTGTATGAAGTAATTGCCTTTTCTTCGCCCCTCAGCAACTACACCACCTCTTCATCTCAATTACCTTCTGATGATGCAGCCTCCCCTCCACATCAGTGCAATGCCACCATAATTCAGTGTCCAGCCAAATTCTTTGGCTGCTTGTCTCAGCAGCATGAAGCCTTGAGCATAGGAGATAATCTTGGAAGCATACAGGGCCTAAAACAAACAAAATAATAGAAGTGAACCTGCAAAGTTGAATGAGAAGTAGACCCAAGCCCCTCATCACAGTTTACAGCATCCGCAACTTGTCCTGATCAGCAGCTTTCCTAGAGTGCTCTGGCAAACACAATGACTCACCTTGCGTATGTCCTCAAGAAATGCCTTCTTGTTCCCGCTAAATTGAGTCAATTTAGGCCCATTCAGCAGCTTACTGGCCTGCACTCTCTCATCCTTGAGGGATGACAGGCACCGTGCAAACACAGCCTCACCTTTGGATAGGGTAGGAAAGAACAGGGAATTAGTAAGATCAGTACCAACATTAAGGTCTGAGTCATGTCCTATTACATAGCAACTGCCACTGAACAATGAGCCACTGCTCATAGAGAAACAGAGTCACATGGAAAGAAGTGTACAAACTATTTCAGCTGTTAGTGATAGACCAATCTGCCAGCCAGCACAGCCACTGGGTAAATACTGGCTGACACAGCTTTGAAATGATAAAAAAAAGTCCACAGAAAGCACATCTAAAATCAAATCAGCAGATTTGAACAAAGAAGTTAACTTATACAAGGAAATAAACTCAATAAATCTAGTAGGCTCACAACATTAGTTTTCAGAAGCCTACTAGATGGTTTTATAACACCACTAAGCAGATTACTGAACATCATTCTCCAGGGCTAAGTCGTGTCTTCAGCTCCTAAGGAGTAAGTCTGAATGCCAACCTCTTTACCTGACTCAGTCTATTTTAATCATGCCGTTGTTAAGTTGTACCTATTTGCAATTGAAAATAGCATGGTTCAATGAGAATAAAAATAAAAATAATTTTATTTCCAGAGCAATTAAAAAGGAAATTTAAAAGTGATTAAAAAGAAAAAGAAAGCTTTCATACTGAACACTCCTTCCTCCTTAAAAACAGTGTGAATTAAAAAAAAGAAGAAGAATGAGTCACATTTGTACAGGACTCTGGATCCTCCCTGTTGTAGGATTAACAGACTGTATCAAAATCAGAACATACTCCTTTTCTGCAAAAACTTCCTTCTACAGCTTAGAAGGAAAAGGAGGAAGGAAGGGGAAGGCATTGGGAAAAAGCAGAGGTAGCATGACTCTGCCTTCACAAGAAGACTGCAAGTCATGCTTATGCAATAAAGTCACACAGAAACTGCCCTAGGAATGGCCGTGTTTGCAGGACTGTTGTGTGTACTTCCTTATCCACTGATCATTACCTAACAGTGCACCCGGGCACTGGGCAGGACTAACCAGGGAGTGTCTTCTCCACCCTCAGCCTTTGCAGGAACTCTAAGCCAAGGAACATCGCAACAGCTAAGTGAGAAACTCTTTCAAGCCTACACAGTCTGCAACTGTGGCATAGCACAAAAACCATTTACAAAGCTTGCTCTGTAAAAATACATTGTTGCAATGCAGCCACATTTCTCTCAGAGCTATCACTCCAGTTACTCTTTTCAGTATACTGAATACAGTTTATCTTCCAAGGAAACACGACTTGAACATTCAGGCAACAGAAAAAGATGGGAAAAAGCAAGAAAAATAAAGCCAACTTGAGAGCAAAGAAACTACTGAGTCATCTTATTTACTCAAAGGGAAAGCCTACATCAGCCCTGTGGTTAAGAGATTATTCTAAAAGTGTTACAACTCCTATGTCACAATGCTGAGCCAGGCTGCAAAGAAGTGTAGATACCACAGAGGTAGGGCTGTATGCAAGCAGGTATATTCTTATATCTTTTAGGGATATAAACTTAAGGAATTACAAAATACATTCCCATCATCTTTGGGTTTTGATGACAGCCTTATTAAGCACAAAACCAGT